ATATGATGTTTGTACAATACTAGTTATGCAATCATAACAGGTTACATAACTATTGATCATGATCTTGTTATGATCTTTTTCTGAATTAGATCAATATTTTATTGACCTAAAATGATTGTAAAACGCCACTGATGAAATTCCACACAATAATTATAATGATAATTCATTTTGCTGTCAGCAATTTAAGTCTAAAGCTGTTTGGGAAAACTCTAAAAGCCGTTCTGTGGAAGACTTGTCTCAATTCTTAGTTTTAAGCTGCTTTTAAGTTGCACCGAACAATCTTTTAACAATAAATAATAACTGTGCTGTGAAAGGGGTTGTATGAGTCCACAACTGCATGCTCCACTCAGCACTACAGAGAAATGTACAGTATCAACTTCTACCTTATTGTTATTTTATGGCTATTAACTTACTCTTTTGCTTTAGTTACTCTGATCAACCCCACTTACAGTACAGTAGTATTAGGCAATTGTTGAAAGAAAATAAACAAAGTAGTGGGCCTATGCCTTGTTATTTCTTACAGCTGTAAAAGCAGCATTTGTGGAATCAATTTGATCTTTGAAAGAGGTCCGCAAAAGAAAAGGTAACTCAGAATACAGCAAACTGTACTGTAACAGAATTACACAATACAAATGATACACATGGGGAACATATATACTGGCTGGCCAAACTATTAACACACACAGGGAATGGACAAAGACACTAATTAAATAATCTACCAATAAACATTAAACAGACAGTTGTCTAACAACTTTTTTTTTTCTTAAAAGAAATAACATAACATGACAAATAAAGTTTTAACATGAACTATAAACAAACAATATATTTACCCCAAGCCAGTATACTATACATTAAATGACTATATGTCCTTTAAATTTTTTTTGTTTAGCTTGCAAATCTGCCTATGTTAATACAAATGTAGAAAAAGTCAGTTACAGTGTATTAAGAATCACACTTATTTATTCCTGGTGCTTCTGTCATGATTACTTTGTCACATCAAGAAAACCAAAAATCTTTACTCCTGTCTGCTCTTGCTTTCCATATGATGTCACATGAGCCAGAAACCTCGCACTGTGCTCCTTAACCCTCAGTTATCTCAAAGAAGGTGAGGCAGATTTACTTGCTCCATGAAAATACAGAAACATGATGACCCAGACGTCTAGAGTGTAAGTTGTTTTTGCACAAGGTAGTATTAACTCATCAGCTCTAACTCATCATTTTAATAGTTAAACACCATAGTTTTCATCCAAAATGTAACATGATCACTATATTTCAGAGCTGACTGGGCTGAGGTTGTGTCGTTCGAGGGATGAAGCGCATGGCCAGGCCGTGCGCATCCTCCACAGGCTGCTGCGACAGATTGTTGGTCTGCCTGATGCTGCTGAGGGTGCAGCCCTGATGAGGACACACTGTGTAACGAGACAGCAGCGTGACCAAGATGGCCTTCATCATCACCATAGCAATGTGTTTGCCCACGCAGGAACGAGGCCCGCAGCCAAAGGGCTGGAAGAAAGGACTGGGCACCTGTCAAGCACAGGAGGTAAAGACCAAGCTGTTTTTTTTTTTTTGGATTTTCAGAGTCGTGCATTGTTACATAATATTCAGCTGACTTACTGTTTTGGCAAAGTTTGTCAAGCTGAACTCTTTTGGTTTTGGGAAGAATTCACCCTTATGCATGAGACCAGTGTTGAGAATGATGTTGGTTCCTTTTCTAATTTTAGTTCCTTCGATGTTGTCATCTTCCAGAGCTTTTCGCATTGTGAAATCAACCACAGGATGAAACCTCATGGACTCTTTGATGAAACACTCCAGCACTTTCAAATTTTGATGATCAAAGTTTTCAGCTGCTCTTTCACCAGGAAATGAAAGTACAGCATTCATTGATTGTTGGAATGGTTTAATGTTTAGCCTTCAAAGACTGAAACTGAAATTAATACAGCACAGTCGCACTTACTCAAGACAGTGGTCATCTCCTCCACTATCCTCAACTCTACATCAGGATTTTGTTTCAGCAGCATCAGCATGAAGAAGAGGCTGATGGAAAGCGTGTCAGGTGCTGCAATTATCATCTCCAGCACACACTGCCTGACGTTATCTGCTGAAAGCTCTCCGTGGTTCTGTTAACCAGAAAAATTAAGTTAATCAGCACAGCAAACACACAACATTACTGTGGATTCATCAATAGAGACTGACCTGGGCAAAGATTAGCTCAGTTGCAAAGTCAAGATCATCATCCAGCTTATCAGTTTCATTAATCATTTGTCTTTTAATTTCAAGAAGGCTCTCCATTGCATCTTGCAGCTCTTTGCTTTTGGCACAAAAATTAAAACAAACATTAGGTTAAAGAAATCACAAGACAAATGTTACTGAATGAAATATTATCATGTGAGGATCTTACCCTGCTCTCTTGTGCCTGTTGTACAGCCATCCAATCTTGAAGAATATATCTGGCTTTATTAGAACTGTCTGCCAGGTCTCAAAGTAGTTTTGGATTTTCACCATCAAGTCCTTCGCTGAGTGATTACAAACAAAGTCAGGAGTTGCAGGCTTCAGTAAAAAAAAGAAAAAAAAAAACCTAAATATGTGCAGACAGTGAAGATGCAGCTGACCATTGAGTGGCACCTTGAGGAAAAGCCTGTTGGAGATGTCCACCACTATGGCCCTCAGCAGACTGAGAGCGTCAACGTGTCCAGAGGGAGCAGTCATCTCCTGCAGGTTGTCCAGGTGTTTGGCTGTGGAGCTCACACAGATCGCCACTGTCCTCTGGAGGCCGGGGCCTGTCAGAGCTGGAAATTGACCACATAACAGTGCAGCAATACAAACACCAGGAATCACTGTTCCAGTCATCATCAGGGATTTTGTGTATTGGCTTGTTAGATATGGGAAATGTGTAGAGAGAGTGATGAAATACTGCAATGCTCTGACACTGTACTCTATCTTTAAGATAATTACTCACCTTTAGAGAAATATGTCCTTGATTTTTTCCAGAGTGCGACATCACTGTTGAAAATTATACCCCTTCCTTCCATCCCAATACACTCCAACCCTGTTTTGCTCCCAAATCTGGCTGTGTACTGGGCACTCCTCAACACATGGTACACGGCAGAGGCGCTACAAATGAATCCAGGTTTTCATCTTATTACAAAGTAAATTCAGCGTTTAAAGACTTTTTTTCCTCAAAAGACTTGCCTGCTCAAAATGAGGGTCTCCTCTCCGTTAATCCAGACCCGAACAATGCTGCCATATTTATTGTTGTAGTAGTTGCTTGCTGTTCCAATCCCAGTCCACAAGAATCTGGTGTAGGAGAGAATAGGACCAAGTCCTGCCAGAAAACGAGGACCTGGCAGAAAGAAACAGGTGATGCACTAAGACATAAAGATCTTTGTTTATTTTCCTGTTCTAGGCAAGTGTCCAGTCTGCTGAAGAGACTTTGAAAAAGAGTGTCTTTGGGGACACTGGGCAAATCCTGTGCCCCTTTTCTTCAGGTAGGGGGCAGCAAAATGAAATTTTACAGTATACTGTTTATTTAAGTGTACTGTATTTATGGTACGTTTCAAAGTACAACGCATCTAGAAAGAACCGGTTTAATATATACGCTTCCCATCTTAATTCAATCAGTTTTACACCTACAGTCACTTGTACATAGGTGTCAATCTGTATAAGTTATGTGATGGAGCAGAAGCTGTCTCTTACCTGGTATGTCTGAGCAGTTTGTTTGGCTCCAGGTGGTGAAGAGCAGCAGCAGCAGCAGCAGAAGAAGAAGAAGAAGCAGAGGGGACATTGTATCAACCACCATGGGGCCGATGGTGAGTGTCTCTAACGGCAGCATCCTTTTCATAAATCCCGCCAGGCACAGTCACTGAGCAGACTCACTGTGTCTGCTGCCTTCCTGCAGAGCTTTTGTCTCCTTAAACCAGCAGTCAGACCAAGCTCATCTATTTATTAAAGCAATATAGAAGAACATTAATCTGTGGACAGCCTCCCCTTTTTATCCCCTGTAATGCTCTTGTCCTTCAAAACTGGGAGATTACACAGCACGGGCGGACATTAAAGCTAAAATACACCCACATAAAGCTTTATAGTGAACAATTTGTTCTAATGGGAGACGTGTGAGGGTTATTAGATTTCACATGAAAGGTCAGCATATCCATTTTTTTAAATTTAGTACAGTTTCATCCTACTGACATGTTTCCTGCTGTTAGGTAATTTCTTACTCAGGTA